TCCAATATGGCGGAATCATCCACAGTATAATGCAAAGGGTTAGGCGGGTTGCGTGCTGGACTACGGTCGGGGGAGGACACCTCCCAATCATTGGAGTCAACTTCATCGGACTCGCTCAAAACCTCCTCCGTATCCGAACCAGAGTCGGAAGCGTCAGTTTGGGCTTTTGCCCACTTCCATGTCCTTGCCGCTTTTGCCCGGCGGGTGGCTCGTTTTCGTGGGGGCCCCATGACCTCAGGTGTGACAGGACGTACCCTGTCCGTCAGTTCAGTTTTGGAGGTGTGCTTTCCCATGTAGTGAGTTTTTCTCACAGCCTTATGGCCCTCTTTCTGTACCAGGCCCTCGTCTGTGACCCTGCCCAGGACTCCCTTCGGGTTGGCTGCCTTAATAGCAGTGGAAATAGAGTGGGATATGTTGTCAGACATAACCCCCATTGCGGTATAGATAGCCTGGGTCACTGACTTAGACATGGTGGCGTCCAGGAGCGAGTGGAACTCCTCTGAGTCCAACTGCTCCAGGGAGGCCACCACGTCCCCTTGCTGGTTGGGGGGTGCAGCCACCAAGGACCTGCTGGCGTCCCCCTTACCACTTGGGCCAGGGGCAGAGCATTCAGTAGGGGTCTGCATCTTGGGCCAAAAAGTGAGTGAGGCAAACTAGCACTAGGGTAACTAAATGTACTGTGAAACTAGAGTGTGCAAGCTGGACAAGAGGCTGACAAGGCAAACCGACCAAAAAAAAGAAAAAAGCACAGTAACAAACCAGCAGCTTGTACTGTCAGCTTACCGAGTGTTCCCCCAGGAATGGCCTCTGGGGGACACAGGCAGGCTGACAGGCAAGCCACTTGGCCAATCAGCTCACGCCCTGATAGTGGGCTGTGAGCAGAGCTGGAAAAAAGAGCGGCAAAATTTCGGTACCGCCCCTTTAAGATGACTGTTGGAGGTTGCGACTGCGCACGCGCGCGCGCCGCCGTTCACCCGCGCGGTAGTGTGGCTGGGGGAAGACCCTGAGAAGAAACCGGGCTCTTCCCAGGGGGTTCCCCACACCGTGCGACCGGGAGGAGAGGGTAATAGACTACCCGGCGGTCTGCACGGAAGCCGGAACCCCGCCTGGGGGGGGAGGGGGGCGGGGCGCCTGCAAGGAACGCGGGCAAACCAGAAACACACAGAGGGAGAATCCCTTAAAGCTAACTAGCAGAAAATGCAGCAAAACCAAGTATCAGCACAATAATCAGTGGAGAACATAAACACATAAACAAAACAGTCACAAAATGGAGTCAGAGAAAAAACAGTGATACTTAGCTGAGGCAGCAGCAAAGAAAGAGGAAGAGGAGGAGGATACAGGAGAGGATATGAGAGAAGGACTGTTCCTATTGGTGGGAAGTTGGTGATGTAATGTTAACCCTGTGAGGGTAGTTATGCATGTTTTCTTTTTTCTATACAAATAAACACTTTAGCTTTTTCTTTGCTGCTGAGGAAATAAAAGAAAGAGAGAAGTCTAATATGAGCCTCCGTGTCCTTTAATAAAATTATCTGTTCCCTAGCACATCTTAAAATTAGATAAATACAAAGTCAGATGGACAACACATGAAATATTACACAGTGTCATAATTTATTTAACAAAAATAAAGCCAACATAGAGAAGCCATTAAGTACACCTTAAAACTTGTAAAATCAACCTTAGCAGCAATAACTTGTTAAGTAATAATTTTCTGTATGACTTTATCAGTCTTTCACATTGTTGTGGAGGAATTTTGGCCCGCTTTTCTTTACAACATTGTTTCAGTTCGTTGAGGTTTGCTGGCATTTGTTTAAGCACAGCTCTCTAAAGGTCTCGTCATAGCATTTCAATCAGGTTGAGGTCTGGACTTTGAAAAAGAAAAGGATCAAGGTGTTGCAATGACCTGGTTAGCCATTCTGTTGTAGATCTGATGATGTGTTCTGTTGCATGACCCTATTTCAGCCAAGCTTTTGCTGTCGGACAGATGGCCACACATTTGACTCTAGAAAAGTTTTGTACAAAGGAGTTAATGTAAGACTATGTGACTGCAAAGTTCTAAGGTCATGTGGCTGCAGAACAAGCCCAAATCATCAGCCCTGCAGTACCATATTTAACATTTGATATGAGGTGTTTGTGCTGGTATGCTGTTTTTGGTTTTCAGCAAATGTGGTGCTGTGCATTATGGCCAAGCATCTCCAATTTGGCTTTGTTTGTTCAACGGATATTGTTCTAGAAGGCTTGTGGTTTGTTCAGATGCAACTTTGCAAACCTGAGCCATGCTGCCATGTTTTTTTTAGAGAGAAAAAGTTTTGTTCTGGCAACCCTTCAAAACAAACCATACATTTTCAGTCTTTTTCTAATTGTACTGTAATGAACTTTATTATTTAACATGCTAACTGATGCCTTTAGAGTGCAAGATGTTTTTTTTTGCTAATTCTCCACTGTCTATTTTTCACTTTTGAATAATATTTCTCAGTGTAGAAAGACAGACTTTAAATTGTTTGCAAATGGCTTTATAACTCTTCCCAGATTGATTGCCATCAACAATTGCTTCTCTAAGATTATTGCTGACGTCTTTCCTCCTTAGCATTGTGTTAACACGTCTGAATGCTCCAGAACAGCAAACTGCTAAATCGTTGGCTTTTATACAGGTGCCCCCCTATGCTGATGATCAATTAATCAAGGGTATTTGATTAGAAACACTTGTCTGCTGCTTAGCCTCCTACTTCCTATGGAACCAGTAAGGGTATACTTTGTTTTTCGCACATGGCTTCTCCATTTTTGGCTTTATTTTAGTTAAATAAATCATGACATGTTATAATATATCATGTGATGTTGTTCACCTGGGGTTGTATGTACCTAATTTTAAGACCTGCTAATGAACAGAGTAATGCTATTACACCATACAATTCAAAGATGGTGTACTTTCTTCTTCCCATGACATACAGATAACATATACATACAATCATGGAAAAAAAGGAATATATATATATATAACACTACATCAATGGAAAGTATACAGCAGGTGAATATACTATACAATACTTCCTTACATAAACTGTCTAATAATTGTAACAGTGTGATAAACTGGATAGTTTTCACTCCACTTAGAAAATAATATGGTTCTTAATCTGTTCAACTGCAAGATAAATACAATTAATCACACTGTAGACAGGACCAGTCAATGAAATCCATTTTTATGTTGATATAAATGCACGTGCTATTTTTTTTAACAGTCGGACAGTACAGATTAGTATATATTGCATAATCAATGAGTGAATGAGCCCAGGGCAATTGGATATTGAGATTATTAAATTAATTTACTGTCAGTTTTATGGGGGAAAAAAGACATATGCTTCTATTTGACAAAGCATGTAAGTATGTTGACCAGAGCAGCCTGTAAACTGATCTTGCTTTTATTGGATGCTAATTTATTAACTGTATGTTTCTTTGTCTTTGTGTTACACATTTTTCATGTTATCCTTTCTGTTCCACAAAATGGAAATCACTGGGCACGGCTTGCTAGCTGTGCTGTATTTACTCCATGCTGGTATGTGATTTGGTTTTAGATATCCTATTGGCCAGAACACTAAATTAAATTGCTATCCAAGCACTACAGATGGAAGAAACAATCTTCCATGTGAGAAAGGATAAAGTCTTTGCCATAAAATGAGCTAACCAATTTACTATTTACAATGTGCCCTGGGAGAAAAAAAACAAATGTTCCTTGGAACCTATTAATTGCAAGTAACTATAAAGCTTTTCTTAATATTGAGAAATAGATTGAGTGTGCATGTCACACAAATAAAGCAAAAAAGCTAAAAACTCCTGAATATAATAAATAACATATTTTGGTTATTAACAAACACTCTGCCTAAATTCCTGATAAAAGCGACACCCACACATTTGTAACAAAAAAATATATTTTAACACAAAGGTGGGATTTGTTTTTGATTTTTGTAAAGTATTCACAGATACACCCAACATATAACAGTAAAATGAAATAAATATATAAACAAATATACAAAAATGGCCTATACAAGCCAGGATAACACACCACTTTATTGCTTGGCATGTTGCAAAATAAGTATTTGTTTCATGAGAGAAAAGGCCACATTACCAGTAGCCCCAGTGGTTACTGTAGTCGAAAGAAATTAACCAAACAACCGATTTTAAAAAAATTTAAAGTTTAAAATTTAAAGTTTTATACCATCTACATCATCTTGAAAATATCTCAGAAAAAAGAGCAGTCTAGACTTAACTTTTCATCCAGAAGCTTTCTCCATTATTTAAATTGATAGATTTCTTTACCTTGTTTGAAAATAATTGGCAAACACACTGTAAGTTAGAGATTAATTTCTCTTTCTTCCAAGAAGGTGAAAGAATAATTAGATGTTATTGGAAGTCACCAGATACTGTACAGCTCAACGGCAGTCCATGGTGCGGCCTTACTGTCTGGTGGTCACTGGATATGATTCTGCCAGTTGGGCTGGGGGCTAAAAAGTAGAGATGAGCCTACTCAGGTTGTTCCCCAACAGCACTTCGGCTGGCAAGTGCTGCATTGACCCCACTTCCACCATTCCCGATCCCACACTCCAATTCAAGTAAACTGGGGACACTGGAGAGCAAAAAACAAGTCTGCTTTTTGCTCTCCCAACCGGGCCATGGGTATTCAGTAGATGGCACCCCAGCTACCAGAACAGCCATGGAGCTTCCCATCTGGGCTGGCTCTGGTACCATGTGTTGACGTTCCCATAGTGAGTGTAGCCCCAGTGTCTTGTATCCCTTGGGCTTCCTTGTACCAGTGTGAACTGCCAGGGCTGCTGTCGGTTGTCTGCAGCCGCTTGTATAGGGACAGTTTCGTGGTGGGTTCCCCAACTTTCCTCCAGTTGTTCGGGAGCTGAATGGTAAGTGTCTGTCTCCGTCTGGTAGCAGAGAGTGGCTGCCTGGTTCGGTGGAGTGGGTCTGGGGAGAATCCTCTGTGCCTGCTCATGGTTCTGCGGGCTGTCTCTACTCATGTGCCCATCCTTTTGCATAGGTGGCACTAAGTATTGTTTAGGTATCTAAACAGGAGTGGCACAGAGTTGTAAGTGTCCCCACCTTGAGGTTGTACCACTGGTGCTGGAGGGGGTAGAGTTGGCCTGGTAAATACTTTTTGCAGTATGGATCTCTGGAGTTGGCAGTAACGGAGCTCCCTGTACCCCTGGCTGGGTACCTCCACCAAGAACCGCTTCCTAGCTGGAACAGGGGACAAACTGCTGTACTTCTGCCCACAGTTGCCATGGCTTGGCTGGGGTCCTGGAACCGCCACCTCCTTCCTGGAGCTGAATGGGGAATTAGCTCTAGACACCCCCAGGCACTGGAAAACACTCAGTCCTGGGAGCTCTAGTCCTTACAAGGACTTTCCCCGTTGAATCCCTTGCAACCTGGAACAGCAGACACAGGGGTTAAATCTTCCTTCCCTCCAATAACAGGAAGACACACAGTTTTGGAGTGTAAGCTGGAATAGATTTTAAAGGTGCCTCACTTGGCCTTATATGACAACCCCCATACAAGGGGTACACCCACATGGATCTTGTTGGGGACAGGGACACAAACGTACAAACCAATAATAACACATTTACAATGTAAGGCACTCCCACAAACATCACACAATCCTCCCCGCTGCTTGGTAGATAATTGGATATCTCCAAGCACAGAAAAAACATACTTTTTCAAAACACCCTAAAAGTACCCTAAAAATACATAAACCCCAACAAATGATAGCCCTGATCTGGGTGACCAACATATCCGAAAATCACCCAGATCAGTTCAGGGGTTCAGGAATTTCCTGGAAGTCATAATTTTGACTGACCGTGCACATCGTCCTGTGCCCAAAACAGTTCCATGAAATCAGTGCTAACGGTCGGTCAAGTTTGGTAGACTTTTACAGGTTTCCCTGCAGGGCCCATAGTCTGTGGGCAGGAGGCTGGCAAGCAGGCTCCTCCAGGAGCTTGTGCCAAACTCACTCGGAGAGGGGAGTTTGTCACAGGCAGACATCTGCATATTCATCCACCAGCCTAGATGCTTCTGTGAGGTTGGTGGGGTTTCGATCTCTCACCCACTATTGAATGTTAGGGGATAGATCATTGCAAAATTGTTCCAGGAGCACAAATTGTAATAGTCCTTCCATTGTGCTCACTTGGTGGGCTTGTACCCATCACATGGCAGCCCTGTGGATCCGTCATGCTAATTCTGTATGGGATCCTTCTTGACCTTCCTTAGGACCCTGAATCTGGTACCAAATACCAGGTGTCAATGTACTAGAGTGAGTGTAGCCCTGATGTCTAGTATCCTTTGGACTTTCTTCCCTTGTACCAATATGGACTGCCAGGGCTGCAGTCAGTTGTCCGCAGCCGCTTGTATCGGGTCAGCTTCATGGAGGATTCCCCAACTTTCCTCCAGTTTTTCGGGAGCTGAACGGTAGACAGCTGTCTCAGTCTGGTAGGCTGGTAGCAGGAGCATAAATTGTAACAGTCCTTCCATTGTGCTCACTTGGTGGGCTTTTACCCATCGCATGGCAGCCCTGTGGAGCTGTGCTAATTCTTTATGGGATCCTTCTTTACCTTACTTACATCCCTGAATTGCCTCCAGGAGTTATGGCATAGCTAGCTAATAGACCGCCCGATATGCCTCCGCGGCTCTACCCATCAGTCTGCCAGCTAGGAGAGGGACCCAATCCTCTTCGCTAACCTGGTGAAAATGACACAGGCACTCAAAGTCCTGAAGGAAGGCATATATCCTCATTTGCCTTTACATAGTATTTTTTTTAATTTTTATATTCTTTATTTTTTCATCTTGGCAGAAAACAGCATGCAGAATATTAGCAGTTCGGCTAATGCAAAAGCCTTTTGTACAATTCCAATAATTTTGATTTATATACAATGAGTCACACTGTAACGGGTCATTCTTACACTGCGCTTATAACTGTCTGCCAAGGGTTTTCTGTTTTTCATAAAATGGATCATACAAAGCGCACAGTTGCTCTACATAGTCTTTAAATGCCCCATATGGTACTTTATCTTTACTGGTTGTTTGGTGGTGGACAGTACGTACGCTTGTACTTCGGACAATAATTCATGTCAATATTTCCACCAAAGGGTTTTCGCCATAAGAAGACAGCCAAAATCGAAGTTCCTTTTCCCTCTATTGTGGGTGGTTCCATTACGTTTCCCTCCATTGTGGGTTGTTCAGGGTTACCAAACATTTGATTGTCTTCCATTCATTCGGCAATAATGGTGGCCTTTTTCTTATTGCTATAGCTCTCACCTTCAGGAGATCCTTCAGATTAGACTGTTTTAGGATGGTATAATCAATCTCCATCCACAGTCCATTCAGTATTGCTATCCACTGACTGTGGCTCTGGATCTCAATGCTGCCAACCAATGTCCTGGCAAGGACTTTTCCTCCGCTGGGTCCTTGAAGACTGGAACCCAGGAGGAAGGCGCTGAAATGTGAATAGCTCTATCCCTCCCCAGTAACTGGACACACAGTTCTGGGAGTGCAACTGATTTATTCCACACAAACTCAGCCTTTTATGCAAAGACCCCCAGCATGGGCTCTGCATTCAAAAAGTACACAAGCCCCTCCCAGGCATCCCATTGTCTGGGAGATAATGGAGTCCAAAATTAGTAACTCAATTATCTCTCAGCTACAGGAAAATATATAGCATATATACAAAATACCCCCAAAACATAGTCATAATTCACAGGAACCACACAATAAGTATATCCCTGAATAGCTCTGATCTGAGCACCCAACATATCCAAAAAGCGCTCAGATCTGTGAGGTAGAACGGAATCGCCATTCAGGTAAAGTTATGACCGACCAGCCATGAGGCGATTGCCCAAAACAGTTCCAGAAAAAATATGGTGATGGCCGGTCAACTTTCAGGGGTTCCTGTGTGAACACTGACAAACGTTCCCCTGATTTTTATTGAGCGAATGCTCCCCCAAGTCATTTCTGCTGAATGTCAGTTGTCTAGTTGGTATGGAAGTAGAAGGGCAGCTGTGCAAGCTCCGCCCGGGTAAAATAGTTCCAGGCGTTCGACGACCATGTACCGCTGCCTGTTTCGGGAGACAAAATGGCCTCCATGATTTGGACCACCCAGGGAAAGCAATTGAGTTAATGTGTCAAGGTTTTAATTTGTTGGTAACAGCCAGGGGAGGTCGGTGTTCGATGAGTTATAAAAAGGGGGACCACACAATATCAATTTGGGAGAACGAGCAAGGGAGTACGGACAACCGAACACAAGGGAATGAAGTCTGCTACAATATTGTAGTGGCATAAGTTGTTGTTTTTCTAACAATTATTCATCAGTGTGGTTTGTGATAAGTAATACATGTGTGAATTCTCAAGATCAAAGACTGTGACTCCTTAGATTCAGATTGTTTGCCAATCTTTTTCCAATTACAATAAATTACTCGCTGTCATTAATTGTATGAAACACTGCATAGTTCAAGAACGCTTTCTCTAGTGGTAAATAGTCAATTAAGTTCATAACACACACTTGTCAAAAGAAGCTTTGCACTTCTAGTGGACATTCCTTGAACTGTCAAATAGAGGTACACAAACCATTTCTTGTAAGTTAATTTTCCAGTCATTTAACTATTTTGGCAAACGCCAAACTGCAACTGCAATTGTGAAATCAAACAACTGATTGTTTAAAAAAATAATTTAATAGCTAGTGGAGCTTTCCCATTTCACCCATTTTATTTCTTGCACATTTGCTTAATAATCTAAAATGAGCCTAAGAATCTTCATGACAATTCAGTGAATGGGCTACTAGACATAAAGCCACTTGCACTCAGAACTTCAAAAGTATCAAAGAACTCTAGTTCAGTAAGATCAAGCAGCTTAAATATAAACTGTTCAGCCACAACATTAAAACCACATTCGGATATGCACATTGGGGGTTTCCCGATCAGCTGTTCTGCATGTGGGACTGGGATCTCTAGATTCACAAGCACTTGGTAAGATAATTAAATTTACAGGTTATATATAAACTGCATTAGTTTATATACAGCATCTTGATAAAGACCTATTAACCTTTTAAGCACTGAGCCAAATGTGCACGTTGTGGTCAAAACAAAACGTAAACAAAACCTGGAATTTGACTATATGTCTGTTCAACCATAATTCACCTCTTTCATATTAAGTGCACCCACACTTATAATATATATCATTTTATTCAGGGGAAACAGGGCATTAATTTAACATCAAATATTTAGCTATGAAACATAATTTAATATGAATAAAATATAAAAGAATATGGGAGAAAATAAGAAATGTTATTTTTTTTAGTTCTACGTGACATTTTAACTGTGAATGTTATAATACTGTTTGCTTTTACTGCCATAAAATACACATATTTGTATTCAGCAATGTATCACGTGTAAAATGGTACCCCTATGTACAGGTTTTATGGTGGTTTGGGAAGTTACAGGGTCAAATCTAGCATGTTACTATTTTTCAGTTTTTTCACATTGGAATTCGCCAGATTGGTTACATTGCCTTTGAGAGCGTATGGTAGCCCAGGAATGAGAATTAACCCCATGATGGCATACCATTTGCAATAGTAGACAACCCAAGGTATTGCAAATGGGGTATGTCCAGTCTTTTTTAGTAGCCACTTGGTTACAAACACTGGCGAAAGTTAGTGTTAATATTTGTGTGTGAAAATTGCAAAAAACTAATTTGAACGCCAATTTTGGCCAGTGTTTGTGACAAAGTGGCTTCTAAAAAAGACTGGGCATACCGCATTTGCAATACCTTGGGTTGTCTACTATTGCAAATTGTATGCCTTCATGGGGGTAATTCTCATTCCTGGGCTACCATACGATCTCAAAGGCTGTTCCCATTGTATCTATTTTTAGCCAGAGTTTGGCTCTGATGGTAAAGACTTAGGGCTCCATGCCAAAGTGGTTTCCAAAAAGCAGTCATAAGTTATTAGTAACAGACAGTAGATATTTGCAAAAACAAAATTATTGGTTTCCAATTCTTTAATGTCTGTATTAGACTAACAACTACCTCACCTCAAACAGGCATCTACAGACAAGTCATTTCTTCAATGTGGGTCCAGTTTTTTTTCGACACCAGAGTGACAGTAATTATTTTTAGCAAATATAATCTGCAGCAACAATGTACAGTACTGCTGTAAGAGAGCTGTCAATGTTTAAAGCTTGTTTACTTTCTCGTATTCACAGGCACGTCTTGCAGTCATTATTTTATTGACTCTTTTTGTTTTTTTACATTTTTAGTCGAAATATGA